AAGACGTGAAGCAACATCCGTTGCTGGTTGACGTCCGCCTCGCGCTCACGTGGTCATGACATCAGCAGCGCGTTTACGGACGCAGGGAGTGAACAACGCGTGTAACACCGGCTTTCTGCGAGCACGGGCTTCGTTTATCACGACTGTTAAGTGGACCTACGGGGAACCGACACCGTCCGTCTTCGAGTACGGCACAACCGACACGTTTGGCATAAAAAAAAAAAACCGTTTAGGGAACAAGGCGTTCTCGGGGGGAGGGGGGGGGGGAGGTAACCAGTGACAGTTTAGCTTAGTAGCATAGGCTGATGTAGAACTTTTTACCATCGCCTGCCTTCAAACTTCATAACTTTCATTCCATGCTGGACTGTCTCGGTCGTCAGACAGGTAAAGCCTCAACACAACGACGGACTTTGAACTGCACAGAGCGGGAGCCAGGGTGACCGTCTGAGCTTCCTTTTTTGAGGCGTTCGGAGCGTCATTCCTGTTACCGTCGGGAAACTCAACTGTCACAGCCATGGAGAGCCTGCCGCTACTTCGTGCCCGAGGAGAGGTCATCCGGGGTTTCGTGAGGAGGAAGCAAAGAAAACTTGGGGATTCCTTATCAGGTGAGTGAATTATCTGTCATTTATCTGGAGGCTTTGCTTTTTCTTTGGTATTTTATTATATGATATTTATTTAATTTATTTTTTTTTTTGGGGGGGGGGGGTCTAGCAGCGATAACATAGCGTACGTAGTTAAGTTATATGACGTTGGGTCAGTCTGAATCCGTTTTATTAACGTTAAAGTAACGTTAGACAACATTGATCTGTCCGCGGTTGAGGTCTGAACACCCGGCAGCTTTTATCTGAAGATCTGGCTGATTGTTGGCTGATTGTTTTACTGCTAATCTCACTCGCTGCTGGTTGTCGGACACTGCGGACTATGAATGGCGACGATGATGACGACAGCTTACGCAACGAGCTGACGTCGTTTTTTTTTATTTTTTTTTTGGTGAGTTAAATGAGTTGAGTAACTTCACAGGTTTTGAAAGCGCTGTTATTTTACTGGAATAATGGCTATTGTGCACGGATGGTTGTTTCCAGAAAAGTCCAGGAATGTCATGTCTTAACCAAAAGTGAACGACTGACAGCTGACACCTAAAGGACTTTATAAAATCCATTAATAAGCAAATCTGTAACGATAAATGTTATGGTGTCGTTATTCTCTGTGTTACCCGCACATTTACTCTCAGAAAAGACACACAGTTTAACTCAAAGAGGTTGTACCATCTCACAATATGTTCAGTGTTTATGAGTATAAACATTATAGATGTACAAGATCCCCAAAAACAATTAAGTTTGTGTTTTTCCAGATTATAGTCAAACCATTTGGTAAGTAGCCAAAACTTCCCTCCTGAAAATCATGCCCAGGGTTATGAGGCACTTAAACAAACAGGAAGCTTGATTTATCCGAAAACACGCAAGTTAATTGAATATAAGAAACATAATACATCAATTCTAAAGCAAATAATGTCTAAATGGTTACACTATTTGCCTAAAGTAACACATTCATTTCTAACAATATTATAGAACATTTTGTAGATGATTTTTTTTTTTTTTAGCCATGGTTATTTTACAACTAGATATAAGGTTTATCTAAATAGGTAGTGTTTTCTTCTCTTTGATGATTTAAAAAGCATCTGCTTTGTGCAATTGAGCAAGACACTAACTTCATTTCAGGAGGAGTGGTTTTCTGTCTGGTTTTACATGCTAACCTTTTTATCTCCTCCTTCTGACTCTCCAGCCAACTTCCCTGACTCAGTGGTGGACAATCTTCCAGCAGATATCAGCACAGGGATTTACTACGGCTGGGCCTGTGTTGGCAATGGTGATGTCTACAAAATGGTGATGAGCATTGGCTGGAACCCGTACTACAAAAACACCAAGAAGTCCATGGTTAGTACCAGAAAAGCAGCATTCACTGCATAAAGCTTGGTGTTTTTAGTGAGAAAGAAAGCGTGCACATTGCAAATCTATTTAAAAAATGTCCTTTTTTTTTTGTCTGGGGTTTAAAGGCAGTGCTGGGATGTCCCACAGCAGGACAACCAATATTTGTATTGGAAAAAATGAATAACTCCTCTTTGAAGTTATGTTACACAATGCTACACATCACTCAGCATGGTTTCATTCATGAATGCTCATTGCAGAATGGTTATTTTTGATATTATTGATATATTAAAAATATAAATGTTAATGTTTGGTTAAAAAAATGTCTGGTTTCTTTCAAAAATTCTGTTTTATAAAATTAAAATCCCTTTTGTTGAGACTGTTTTAAAAGAATAATGTCAAAGTCTGCAGTGTAAGACATTTAGAGACACGTTTCTTAAAGCTTTGTTCGGTAAAAAAAAAAAAGCACTTTGTGTGGAGCTTTTAGTCTGTACAATATGTCTTAATGTTGTTTTTAATATGCTCATCTTTTTGAAATTATTGAAATAGTATTGTATACTTCATTCACACTCTACACACAACCAACTTTGCAACTTCAGATTCAAAATAAGGCTGACTGCAAGTCATTCTAATACACTGGTTTGATAACACAAAAAGGAAAATGCAGTACATTATATTAAACAGATGTGGTACTTGTTTGGTTCTAGGAGACCCATGTGATTCAGACATTCAAAGAGGACTTTTATGGAGAGATTCTCAGTGTTGTCATGGTGGGCTACATCCGTCCAGAGAGAAGCTACGATTCACTTGGTATGACACCTTTCTCTCTCTCTCACTCTCTCACACACACACAAGCTCCAACCTTCGTATGTCTGGTCTTAAAGGTCAAAGTTTAGATTACTGTTTTCCCTCTTTACCTATCATGACTCCCCATTTTTCTACACACTCCTCATTATTCTCTTTGCACCTCTTTCACACACTCGCTGTGTCTTCTCTGACTTAATGTCTTCATTTCTCTCTCATCTTTTTCCTGATAGAAGCCCTCATTACGGCCATCAACAACGACATTGAGGAGGCCAAACTCAAGCTTGAGCTCCCAGAGCATCTCAAACTGAGAGAAGACAACTTCTTCACCAGCGCTCCCAGCTTGTCTTCATCCATGCCCCCCACCACAGCATCAACGTCACAGACTATTATGAATGGTCACTGACAGCTGGCTGTGACTGCAGAACACCGAACACAACACACGCACACTGCTACAGCACACATACGACGACAATCACACACACACACACACACACACGAGCGAGAATTATAGAGGAAGAACACAAAGCTAAACGAAAATAGAATATGGCTCTCAATATGAT